TTAGTGATAACATTTAAGTACGAAATACCTATTTTGATGAATAAATCCATAGAGTTGATCTTTATCATGCTTAACATCACATATAGGATATTCTTTAGAGTGAAGCTCATTATTACATAATACAGATTGTGTTTGAAAGTTAATGAATCTCTTCTCAATTCTTCCAATCTGAAATCATCCATATTTTGTAATAGCTAAATTAGCTCCTTTAACCAAAGTATCATCGTCATCAATAGGTTGAAATTCTGCTTTTACTAGCTCCTCAGAAGAAAAGATTCGTGACCAGATCATGAAATAATTCTCTTTAGGCTGAATCAGATAATCATCTAGATTTTTAAATCTATTTTTAACTGAAGAAATAGCCAGTCTTTTTATACAATCTTCTTTTGCTGATCCCAGAAGCTGAAGATTAAAATGTGTTTTGAGAAGGCCATTATCAATAAATTTTGAATAAGATTCCCCAACTAATTCTATAACCTTTTTTGTGAATCTCTTAAGTTCTCTATAATCTATGAATCAGGCATGAGAATAAATAATATGTCAACTACATTTTTCAGCATTTGATGAACTAGCTAAGACAAAAGAATTTAAGAAAGGTATACAATTGTAAATAAGGCTTAATGCATCTGCACAAGTGACTAAAATTTAAGATAACAAATCTTCTCGTGTAATTTTTTCATCATCTAAGAAAGGCACTTTAGGATTTGTAGGATCAGGCTTTTGTCTTGCATCAATATCAATAATCAAATGAAGAGGCTAGTTACCATCAATACATTCATGAGTATCAGATATTTTATAAACTTCAGAGGGATGATCAATCACTGTATAATCTTTTCCTGCTATCCGAATTATATATTGAGAATGAATCTCTTCAGGTTAATATGCATCTAAAAGCGCAGTATTATTTCTATTAGAAGAGCTGGTATGTCCATTAGATGCAAGCCAGTATTTATAAAATGTATGTTCTTTATGGCCAGGTTTATAATCGAGATCTGTTAAACCCATAAAAAGCCATTTTGCTTTATTATATTTGGCTGACTTTTAATTTAAGCACTGTTGCTGTAGGCTCGAAGAGCCATTGCTCTGCAATAATGATTCATGAAGACATTTTTTTGCTTCACTAAACAAACTCATTTTATTGATTTGTATATATGTTATTTGTATATGTACGTTGTTTGATCTGACAAAAAGTATATGTTTTTAAAACTATATTAAATAGTAGATAAATCTTTAAAATAAAATTAATTATTCCAGAAATTTTAGCCAGATGCCAAAAAAAAAATTATATATTTGATTGAAGTAATTATTATATATAATCGCGATGATATTATACCATTGTTCATATATTCATAGAATTAGAAAAATCTGTGGTCGACGTAATAAATCAAAAAGATATTATATTCATCGTAATTCTCCAATATCTACTCCTTGTAGAGATTGTGATGAGCCAAATAGATCTAAATATAATGCATACAATAAATATGTGGGAAAATATAAAAGTAAAGAGAATTATGACAGAAAAAAGCAGGATGAGTTATGTGCACAAATTATCATGTTTAAGAATTATATATCTGACTTTCCCGATTCTATGCATGAAGTTTAATCATATATCTGGCATATATATATATTGATTATTTTTTCCAGGATCTCTTTAAGTAATGTTATATCCTCTTTGATCCCATTAATATTTTTAGTAATTTTATTACGTAAAGTTATAGATTCTAAAATTTTCAATCTATTCCATGTCTTGTTCACATCCATTTTTTGATAGAATTATAATAATTATCACCCATTCAATTTTGGATATAGCTATCCACAGATAATTAATTTTGATTTGAAAAAATATTTTTTATAGTGTAAATAACCTAAAGAATTGTTCATAATCTACTCAATATTAGATCATGTCAGTTATTGTAACTAAAATCATTGAGAAATACAATCTTAACAATGAGATGAGTGTATCTGAGCTCAGTAAATACATCTCAGAATTTCTTGAAAATCTTACCGATGATAGAAAACAGAATCAAGGTCGATGATATCTTCGAGAGAGTTTTAAATTTAGCAGTAATCAGGTAAGTATATTAATATCTAATTAAAGAGGTAGTAAGGCCAAGATTATAAATGTTATCAAGGGCAGTTGCAAAATAGCTATAGCTTCACCTCCAAAAGATTTGGAAGAGGAGATTATCAGAGAGATAACTAAACAAATCTTACAGAATAGATATGGCTTTAGTAAAGATCAAGTGAATGCCTTATTTGCTTTGCAAAGTAACTTACATCACCTCTTGATCCAGAAAAATGAAAGTAGCCACAGTGTAATTATCTCAGATAAAAATGTAAATATTATGATTTTCAACAAACTCTCAAAAGGAATTAAGGAAGAAATTATCAGAGATATGGCGCAACAGATTTTACAGGATAAACTTAGTATTAGAGATGTAAGAACTGAAGCTTATGCCTTAGCCCTATCAGCAAAAAATACTAATATTGGCTCATCATATCTCATTCATCTTCATAAAGAATTAAGAAATCTTAATGCATCACTTGAGATAATCAAGATTACAAAATTTCCAGATATTACAGAAGATACTAACAAAATCCAAAATGTCAATCGAAAAAAGGCTGAAACTAAACGTATCAATTATCCAGATAAATTTACATTAGAATCGGTTAAAGAAAGGTTAGACACGTATAATTTAAAAACTCTGCCCAATTATTGGGCTCTTGCTGATATTATGATGATACTTTGTATTCATTCTGCTGAACTTATAACTTTACGTATTACAGATGCCGGAATAACAGGATATACAAAAAATCAGAATCAACCAGATATTCCTAGAAAATTTAGATCTATGGAAAAGAATCAAGAATGAGCCAAAGATTTACTCACTTGGATTCAGCATGCTATATTATCTGGATGAATGAATGATCCAGGTAAGCCAGGAGTTAAATGGTTCAATAAATTCTTAAAAGATTATGATTTAATTCCCAAATACTTATGAAAAATGAATGCTATTTATGATGTGATAGTACATGAGACTAAGAATATGGTCCACGCTTATACAATTGCTGGAGAATATCTACGTCATTCATCTGATAACCATATTTCTCCTGTGCAAAATTATGTTATAATCAATTATAGAAAAAGAGAAATTCCTTATGAGCAAGCAAGATAATTTTATATCTATGATCAAGATTAATTGCGCTTCTTCACTTTTACCATATCTACAGTAAAATATTCATCATCATTAGACTGATTTTATTTTTGCAGTTAGTAATTATTAATTATTTTTTTTCGGTTGAATATATATATCACATAATATAACTTATCATGAAAGTAAAGATAGTTAAAGCTAAAGTAGAGGAGCAGAAAGTTAATTGTTGTCTTGAACCAGGATTTTTGGAGATCTCTATGTGTACTGATAAACTTCTCAAGAAAATCGGTGGCAAAATTAGCAAAAAGTTGACTTCTGAAGAAAAAGATAGTAAATTCGTCAGAAAAGAAATCACAGCTCCACTTGGATTGGCCATAATTCCAATTACCTTTACTTCTAATGTAATAAACAATAACCACCTTAGTAATTATGAATCCATCACAATTCTGACTAAAGTGCTTGTAGAAAAATATGACCCCAAGATGCCTAATTATATCCTGCTTGGTAACAATTGGTTCTATGAACGCAATAACCATGGAATCCAGACATATTTACCGGAAATAGTAACAGATGCAAAAAATGCTTTTGTAAGAACCACCTTACGCATTAAGGACCTCAGTTGGAAAGTTGATACAACCAAAGCTAAAAAGAAGCCAAGGGTTAATGTATCTGTTAATAAAAGAGATATTCATGATTTTTACAAAATACTTCCTGGGAGATCGAAAGATTCACTGTCCCACAGATTAAATATCTCTACATCTTCTGATTCAGATGCTTCCGATTCGATTACTTCGGACAGCAATTCAGATAGTTCTTCCACATCTAGTTCGGAAATAGAAGCTATACATAAGACTGAAGGTGTAAGGAAACGACCGATTCTAAAGCGTAAAGTAAAAGGTAAAATTAATTATCGAAATAAGACCAATTAGATTCGGAGCATGATCGTTAAACCGGGAAATTATCATGGGCGGGATTGACATAGAAGTTCGCGGAACATGCGTAATTGCCTACTGTATTAAATAAATAATCGTTATTCGAGATGCATAAAAGACCTATGGATCTCGCTATGTCTGGCTAAAAATTTGTACGAATTGAGTATGGATTTCTTCCCATTCTTTCATCAGATCGTCTAGCCATGCAGTACTTAAACCGCTTTTTAGTATACCACGACGTGATAACTCTTCTCCGATTAGCCTATCCCGATCTGTTAAAAATTCATGATATTTTCTAGGATCTTCTTTACTTTCTATTGCACCGCGATAAAAGCGTATATCTCTTTCCAAATCCTTACGAAAGCACCCCATGGCCCATCTATTTTTCTCAGCCTCGGTAATGACCAAAAATTTCTCGGGATCCATTCCACGCTCGATGGCATATTGGCGTAAGCCTGCTTCTGGCTGATAAATGCGGGTTTTGTTTGGTACCTCTCCCTGAGTTTCCAGTAAGCTCTGTGTGGCAATTATAATTTTCTTTTGATCAATGCGAAAAGGACAGTTAAGAAAATAGTGATCATTTGATCAATGCGAAAAGGACAGTTAAGAAAATAGTGATCATTTTTACCTAGACAGCTCCAGTCACCCCACATACCTAAACGTGTATGTACTTTATTGCATATCGGACATTTAGCTTCTGGATCTGTATATTTAAAAACATCTCGGTACCATGCATTTGATTTAGTGTAAGTCAGGACAGGAAAGCGTTTATGTACTGTTTCATGGATTATACCTTTCTCTTCCGGAAACTTGGAAATTTTGATGATACAGTCTCGTGAAAGATGATTGCTGGCATCCTTTTCGATTTGTGGGAATTCAGAAGTTTCAAACTTTATCCAGGGATCGAGTCCAGTTTTTTTCTGATATATTTTATATAACTTGGAACGAAGTTTATCAGATATAGTGGTTGGCAAATCAGTTAATTTGGAATACCAATCCAGATATTCGGGGGATAGTACCTCATCAGACTTGGCTTGTGTATTCATGTTATCATTTATATAATTTCAAAGCAATTTAATTTCTCGCATTGGATATCACACACTAAAAAATATTATTTCCCGACCACTCACAAGTCCGTGTCCAGATGTGTACATTGACGAGTTTTTTTAATGCGTCTCCGAGTGTACGTTAACTGCAATACGATATACACTCCACCGACAATAAGAGTAATAAATTGGCGGGGTTTATGCAGTAATTTGAATTTCGCGCTGTTCACATTTAATATAGTATGATCCAGTTTCATATTTACCTTCTATGCCTTCCTCATCATCATGGTCTAAATTGCATAATGAACATAATGTCTCAGCAGTAATTCCGTAATAATCAACATTTTCACTACTGAATTCATAATATAGATCAGGATATTGTTCCAATGCTTTATTGCGGAAAATAGCACGGTCATGGGCCAGATTATTCTGTTCTTCAGGTAAGGTCTTTGATTTAGTTTGAGATTTGAATGGCACATTTACCTCTGCTTTTGGTAAATCTTTCTTGGGTTGTGACGCAGATGATACATTTATCTCGGTTTCTAATAAAGCCTTTTCGAGACGGGCCGTCCCGGAAATTTCAATTATATTATCTTCAGAAGATACTTCAGGTGTGATTTCAAGCGAAGGAGAATTAGAGATTTGGCTCTCTGAACCATGATTAATAATCTCTTGAATTTGATCGTTAGTAAGTTCCGAGATAGAATTTGCACTATAGTTCTTAATATGTTTAATTTTATCTAAACCTATCTTTTCGAATAACTTATAAATTTTTACAGCTCTTTGAGTTTTTTTGCGCAAGGTATCTCGTGATATATTTGGAAGTTGTAAGCCCAAATCTTGTGATCGTTTTTTACGAAGAATACAGAGTTGATTTTCAATTTCATTATAAATTAAGGTTCTTGCTTTTTTCTCGCCAATTTTATTTTTACTACTCATCTCACCAACTTGAAATTCAAAATCCCTACCATAAAGAGACCAGCACATGATTTCTTCCTGATTAGCCTTCGAAGCTCGATCTTCTGCGCCTATGGCTGTATCGCACAACTGAGCTAAATATAGTGATACCTCATTAATGTCAAATAAATTAATACACCTCTCAGAACTATCCATGCCCTCAAATTTTTCGGGACGGGCCGTCTCGGAAATTTCGATCTGTTCTGGTTTAATATTTTTTAATATAGAGTGATCTTGTGAACTCGGCTCTAAAGAAATATTGAACAATTCTTGCCGGAGTTTATCTGTTCCCTTTTTCTTATGGCTAACCAAAGATAGGCCTTGATCTCGAAGCTTCTTCTCCCTATTACGCTGTTTTATCTCGCTACTAGCTCTTTCCTGACTTTTAAAATCCAGAAACTCATCGATCTCTTTATTTTCCGATGATTTAGGCTCGGACGAGGATGTATGAATGTTGGAAGAAATATCAGATGATGCTTCGTAGAGAATAGAATCTTCTAATACGTGTATGCTATCATTTTGTGTCTGCTTCTGTTCCAATTTCGTAACCCTGTCTCTAAGCTCAACATTTTCAGCAATGAGATTACCGGTATCTGTTTTATTTTTCTTTTCTAGCTCCTCGAATCTGGTCTTGAGCTCAGCATTTGCTTCTATAGCTTGTTTCAATTTTGTATTCTCGGCTTTGATCTCGGCATTTTCCTTTCTAAGTTGAGAAATCTCAGCCAAAAGTTTCGAATTTAATTCTTTCAATGAATCGATTTTGGATTGAGTATTCGACATTACTTTATATAGAAAGCACATTCATTCAAAATCTTTTTATTATGCAGATATCGGCATAAAGTACCGAAGTTAAATTCATACGGATCATTTTATAACATATAATGGATTATAAAACCATACGCCAAGAAAAAATTATGATAAGGTTACTTGTGACAATAACGTTGATCATTAAGTCACGAGACTGAACTTCGGTCACAAGGCCAGTTGATCGTGCGTTTATCAGATGAGACTTCTTTATCAATTCCCACGAATCTATCATCAAAAAAAAAAACAAAAACTGCTTACTCCCCCATCTTATCCCGTAAAAATGGAAATTGAAGAAATTGGCGAAATGGACAGAACGGATGAAATGGATCTTCCTACTTATAATTTTGTTAATGGTGTCCCTACTGATCCTCAAGTTCTGAAAGTCTATAACGGTTTGAGTAGGATCCAAATGACCGCGTACAATAAAGCCAACGACCAGGGGAAAACCTATATCTTGTATGTAGTTGCGGATGAAAAGAAAAAACCGGTATGTTTGCTTAGGTGGTGTACATTTTGCCATTAAGCTTTTCACTGAGATTTGTTATAAATGTTAGTGGTGGCGTCGCTTAATTGATTTATTTCGATAGCGACATTATCTCAATCTTCTTTATGCTGTGATCAATTTACTTTCCGTCACCGGTTTTAATATCTGGAGCCACTTTCAAAGACGAGACGGAGATGAAGATTTTATTAAATATTGGAATAATTACAAGCCTGAACAAGATGTTATACTTATGCAATTATGCATTCTCTTTGGTACCCAAATTATGATCATAGCCATAGCATCAGCAACAGAAGGATTATTTAATAAATATAAGTTTCCATTTATCTTCGTTCCAATAATTATTGGGATAGGGTTGGCGGTATTGGGAGGCCTAACTTGGACGTTGCCATCTATCGCGATTTCTTTCGTAGGAGTTGGGATATTGTTTGCGGAGAGTGCCATATATTATTTTAGTATATTCCCTTGATAATAATGATGGTGAGGTTAGATCTTGAAGGATGCCATTGCCTACATCCACTGTGCACTTAACCACTACCTACGGCATTGTAATTGTTCACGGATTCATTCTGTGTCAATACTAAATTTATTGTGTGGTTGATTGAAACGACACTCACGTGCCTTGAGAGAGCGATGTTCATGTACATAGTTATTTTTTGATTTTCTCTTGGCTCATAGTAGTGGATTTTACTATCCCTTGTCGTCTCGTCCTCTTCTATATAACGCATTTCATTTGGAATTAGTACGATTTCGGAAACAGAATGTAGCTAATGATTTGCAATTCCGGATCAGCGATATGTATAACACGTGAAAAATTCATTTCTAAAAAAAAAGTCGGGTACAGACCCTGAATATTACATCATTTTTTGGCGCGATATCCCTCAACCCTAGCCCTTTTTTTAGCCGGCGATTTTTCAACACACGCCCTATCCTTTAACAAACCAACGATAACACCTAATACCTTTTTTACATTCTTACGTGAAGCGTGGTGTTCTTCGGAATCCTCTTTCAAAGCATCTTCGGAAAATTCGATGGTATACGGCAACTTACTGGCTTGCGAAATTTGGTTAGGGCTATATAGGAGAAAGTGCCAATCCCTTCCTAGAATTTATGGATAATTTTGAGAGATGTAATCATTAAAAATACGATTAAAATTCCATATTTACCTGTTGTAACGATACCATAAAGGTAATCAAAGTCGTCGTCGTCAAATGCCTCACTGGCTTTCCGTTTTTTGTTCGTCTCGAATGAGAGGTTCCTTAAAGCAAGGCAAGCCGTTTAGCCGGTTTAGCCACAGACCCGCCACAATAGATCAGTATCACATGACTCCAAACAAACATAGCCAATCAAAATTATACACATAGTATATGATATATGTCTTCGTTGTCTTCTTTGTAAGTATGAAAAATATCCTTTGGATGTTAATTATATTAAATATAATTTTGCTTTCTTTTTAACATTATCTTTGCATTCTTCTCTACATTATTTTCATGTTATTATGCTTATAAGGAACAATACTTTAACAAGATTCCTATGTATTATTTATATAATACTTTTAATATTAAATTATGCGTCTCTTAATATTTAACTCGGTTATGTTTCTTCTTTAATTACATTTCTTCCTCAATTACGTTTCTTCTTCTTAACTTGATCTATATACTAAAAACTATGTCTCTCATTATAATATTAGATTTTTATTATATTCATGTTGAATTTCTGTAAACGTTATTTTAATGTAAATAAATTATTTGAACTTTCTCTCGAAGAATTCAATAAAGAATGGATATTTGTTAATAATATTTGGACAAGATATAACGGAAACAAATTATTAAATAGCGATAAATAGAAAGGATATATATGTAAACTTTCCAAACCACAATAATCAAGCGGCCGTAAAGATGATGTTTCCTCTGAAAAGCTTTGTACAACCTAGAAACAATCTTCTATCAATTGCGAGACAAGAATAAAGATAATCTGATTAACTGGCTTCACGAAAGTTCACGTTGAAAAGTTTAAAGATACTCCTAATCATAGTCACACTCTTGATGAGAGTGATATGTGAAAACGGTTAAAATATATAAAAGATATGGTAGCTAATGAAGCTGTCAAGGAATATAAGCCTTCAATAATTGCCAATATCATCCGAAAAGAAATCATGAAATCACTTGAGTTTTCAGGTGTTGAATATTTGAAAACTCAAGAGGTCACTAATATCAAACTAAAACTCTTAGGTTCGATGAATTTGTATCTTATCAGAAATGCTAATCTAAATGCAGATATCCAGAATGCAGATAAGTTTCTCACTCAAAAAAATTATCAAGTCAAATAGTTTATTATTCAGAAATCATCCTATCAAGATCTTTGTTTCGCAAATATAGAGCAATTAAAAAAACTCATATAATACAGATGGCTAATACTGATTAATTCGACGCATAATACAAACAAATATTACTGGCATTTATTCACTCTTTACATTCATGATGATTGTGATAGTTGGAATATTGGTGCGTATTTTTTAGTCAGTAACGAGAATAGTGAGGTGGTTTCAGTGGTATTAAAAATTATTAGAAAATTTGCTTTTTGTTGGAGATCACGTTATATGTTGCTTGACCAAAGCAGTATAGAGGCGAATGGTATTGTAATCACTTTTTCCGGTCTTTCTATAAGAGAGCAAGAGTGTGATGTCATTCTTTGTATGGTTGGTACACATGATGTGAACATGGATAAAAAATATATATCATGGTCTGACTTTTGATAAAATGATTCGAGCAATGCATAAAACAACTCAAATTGGCTGCAAAAATCTTGTTTAGGATACTATAACCAACTGTCCTATACAAGCAAATGCAAAATACATTTCCAGAAACTACTTGAGGAATTCAAAGAAGTGGGCTCTTTGGGCATGACAACATTCACCATTTTTCTTACAAATAATTTTAACTAACGCACTTGAATCATTTTATAGTGAATTAAAAATGAAAATATCTATTACACATGGTCTTATTAGTAATTGCATTTATTTTATTTTCTCATTATTTTTTTTAGTGTCTTATTATATTATTATTTTTTCAGACACGTGTTATATGATTTCCAAACTTGATGAAAAAAAAGTGATAACAGCAAAAGAAGTCACCACTAATTTTTGATCAAAAATGATCTCTATTGCCAATATAAATTCAGAAGTCCTCACTGAAATCCATAAATTCCTCTTTTCCATCCAAAAACTCCTTGCAGAAGAAATACATGCTATTTCTAAAAGATTATAAAAGAATAAAGAAGTACCATAACTCACGATTATGGAATGTGATTGTAATTTTTTCAATCGTTATATGCTACCATGTCACCATATCTTTCACAAGCAACTTTGTAATGATATTGATATTTTGACATCTGAAGTATGGAAAAATTTTCAGAAAATCTTTACAGAAAATAGATTGGAGGTATACCAGTCACGTGATTTAGTGGAAATACCTCAATCTCACTTAGAAACTAAGAAAGTTGCTGAAAAAAATCGATTAGTGATGAATGAGTTATTTGAAAGGGTGAGAAATCGATATTATAATTTGATGGATCAAGATAATAAGAAGGAATTGATGAGATTTATTGAAAACTTAGAAATGGCTTTGGAGTCTATTCTTGAGTAGGCATGTTATTTTTTTTTGTTTTTTATTGAATAATTTTAATTTTTTTTGAATAATTAATTTGTTTTGACATTTTTATTGAATTTTTTTATATTATATATTTCTTTATATAACATATAATGTTAATCAATGACATCCTATGTTCCCCTCTCCAATGCTTTTACATATGAACTTTTTAATAATAATAATGATAAGCTATAATAACGATAAATAATAATAATGATAAACAATTATTCAAATTATTCACACTTAGACAATATTTATATGAACTTTTTAATAATGAAGTATGAAAATAATAAAACTTTTAATAATAATACTCAGATATATTTGCATAATAAATCAAATGCAAATTAATTATTTACAAGTAGAGATAGAAACAATAGAAATAATTAAATTCTCAAACTAATATTATACGTACAAAAACAACCAGATGAAAGCTTTTTTAAGTTCAGGTCTTTATTGACCAATCAAATCATTTAACTCAAAACAAACAAAATGTAATGTAATCATTTATTTTAAAACAAATAAAACGTGATATAATCATGTGGCGGGTCTGTGGCTAAACCAGTTAAATAGCTTACCTTGCTTTAAGAAATCCCTCGAATGAGCTCTCAAGTTGAGCAATATTCTGGGCATAACCCATGGAAATTTTGTGCTGTTTGTTCTCAGTAATGCAAATCAAATCCTCAGTTTCCTAATATTAGAATGAGTATGAGAAATTACTTGGAAATTTTTACTGCTAAACTTTCAATATATATCTTAATTGCGTAATCAACTCAGCCTGTACTTTTTTCTCTCATGTTTTCATATTACGGTCTCATACTAAACTGCTTTTGCATGTTGTCTCGTACAATATGGAGGGCAGAATGTAATAAAGTCACGACGTATTCATTCCACATGCTTTCTAAACTATCTACGAGTAATGACCCGTAATCTCTTAACCGGAATAAAATCTCAGCCATGCAATGTACAAAATACTTATCATTGTCTTGAATCTCATAGGTTGGGAGGGTGAATAGTGAGATGGATTCAATACCATCACTATCGAGGCTATATTTTAATAATACTTCTCTCAGACTGTGATATGATGAAAAAGCCCTTAATTTTTTCTCTTTAACTTTCTTGGCAAAGTTCACAAGTCTTATCACAGGCCCTACTTCTAACCCACAATTTCTGAAATCTTGTTTGTCCATCTTGAGGAAATCATGACTAGCGATCTCCCGTTTGTATAAAATTTCGAAATGAGCATCGTTGAATTGCAAGTCTTCTTCTCCACGCAAAAATTCGATGAGTTTTTCGGTATTTAACTTTCTAATCACTTCGGCCAAAGTGAGAGCTGGCTTTTCTTCGATTACATTACTAGAATGGAAGCTGGAGTTGAAGTGGCTGACATTTTCGAGATATATATGATTTTTTCGTGGAATTTTATTAGTAGACTGTGGAATGATACACAAGAAAAAAATGAAAAAAATGATAAATAGGTATATATGAGAAATGTATTTGGTTTCACAATACTTGTGCCATATTACTTTTTGGTAGAAATTTGATTATAGTAACAATCAGCAGATTACATGATTACATCATATATGAAAAGTTCGATTTTATTCTGTGATATTTTTCCGAGATATTATGTCCCGTAAATTTTTATTTTTTTCTTGGCAAAAGCGATCACATAACTCAAGAATTTTTAGCGAAGCAAGCACAAGGTGCTAAAAATTTATTACTTTTTCAGACGAAATTTTGCATAACAGGACAAGGTCTAACTTCCCTCATTTATTCCAGTAGTTGACTACCTATATCATACATACTAATATCACTGTTATTTTGAGATAAGGATATATTTGGCAAATTAGGTGTTAAATTATTGCCAGAGACAGCCACTTCATGGCTAGAAACAACATGTCTCTGATTCATTTCTGAAGAATTATTTTGTGCTTTATCTGTGGTCTCATAAGGTGGTGGTGGTTAAAGAGATGATGTTTCGATAGAGTCAGAATGACTAATATTTTGTTCAGGATTTTTTGTACCAGGATTGTTTGTATTAGTGCTTATTGTATCATGGGGTGGAGATGGAGATACTGACCATCTATGACTTCTTCGACTATCAATAGAAATTCTTCAGCTTCTTCAATTATCTGACAATATTTGATCTAATTCATGTTCAACTTTCCTAGTAGATGGTACAGGTGTATTATTCCCCCCAATTCTACGTTATCTATGATTAGAACTATTAATGTTATTGTGGATTCTATCAAAATCATTTTCAGGTTTCTTCCAAAAATGTGTACAGAATTCATTAAAATATTGTGCATCCATTTGGCTTCTTCATGCTCTTCGATTTTCTGCCATATAATCATACATCAACTAATTGACATAAATTATTAGTCATAATAGCTAAGACGTAAGCAAAAAAGATCTGGAAAAATTTCTTATGGTGCCATACTTATATTGTAATCCCAAACAAAATTCATAAACTTTTCTTTATATTGGTGTCCATTAAAGCTCGTATTATGTTCTTGATTAATTCTGGTTGTAATACTATCCCAAAATCTGATTCGATTCCTTCCAAAATTATGATATTCTTTATTTCTATTTCTATACTCATCAATGAGGATACGTATTTGAGTATCAGTCTATTCAATTATTTTTATTGCAGAGCAATGAGGCTTTGTCTCTATGACATTTATCCTGATAATGAATATAATAAATAGACTGCAAGAAGGTGGGATTTTGTTACTTTTATAAGTGTATCTTATGTATTTTAACAGTACTTTGACAGTACTTTAACCATACTTTAACTATATATCCATGATTATATTAAGATATATGTGCTTGATACTAGCTCCGCTATTATATAATTTATTGCTTTTCCAATCACACTTCAACATTATTTTAACCATGTTTTAACGGTATAAATCTATGGATATTCATTTACTTTTTTTACATAAAAGTGATATAATTAACTGAATACGTATGCCTCAGATTTGCATATCTCAGATTTATCTATCTTGGACTAGGCGATCTTAAATAGTAAGTGTCATATATCCTTATCGCTAGAAAATTAAATAATATGCTTATAGCATAGTGGACAATCCTTGTAGTACAAACCTTCTAAAATTGGAAAATCTGACTCAGTTCTGACTCAGTACTGATTCATCTAATAAAAATGTGAGATTTTTATATACATGATCGCGTGATCAGTCAGAACTATTTAATTGAATAATTTAAAAATTCATATTATTGTTAGTTTTTTTATACTATTCAATTATCACAAGTGCGTGGCAGGTTGTCATAACTTACTATTGCTAAACTAACGTTACTTTTCCCAATTGCAATGATCTTGCACTCATGATCTGTAAATTGTAAAGTTTCTGTTTGTATCAGATTTGTAATGAATTTTATTAAATTTATAAATTTTTTAAACAATTTATTATATATAATCAATTTGGCAAAGATTTTTTTAAGCGCTTTATTTTTTAATTTAAAAATATTTATACTATGAATATATATTTACAATTCTTGCATTTACAGATTTAAAAATCTATGAAATAAGCTTGCTCCATCATTGGTAATGCATCCTTGTTTTTTTGTAGTCTTTCTAATAAATCATCCTCATCTAATATTATTTGATTTCGTTAGTTATTTTCTTCTTCAGCTTCAAGGAATTTGGATTCTACTAACTTTGACTTATTTTTATCTAGCTTGCTTAATCGTGTAAGAAGAGAAAAAATGTTATTATGTATTCCAAGTTTAAGAAATTTCTCACAATAAAAATATTTATTATTTAAAAAATTAATAAAACAACTCTCATGGTATCCATGACCACACGCAATGACCATAGAGCTTTTACCTGTTCCATCGTATGATTTATAGTAATAATCGCATTTATTGTAAACCAATAAATATTTACTGCTAAATCCTAATGGCATTTGCTTTTTATTCATGATAAAATTTAGCGATGTCAATTGAAAAGTAAATTTGCCATTCGTATTCTTGATAGAACTTTGACCTAATTTCTGATAGACTTTTTCAAAAATTCCAAGAAGAAATACTTCAGCTTTCTTTATTAGTAAAGCTAAATGATCCTTATTCGCATATGTGGATTTATGTTGGATGACAAAAGCATCTTCAAATGTATTATCAGCTTTTTTTGCATTAATGACTTTAGCCATTTTTGAAAGTTGTTGTGACATGTCGAGAGATGAAGTTTATCGTCATATTATACTATGCATATTTTCAACCAGATAATCTGTAAATTTAACTAGATGATCTTTTAATACACTAAATATTGGATGGTTAATTTGATTCCAATAAAATACATCTGAGAGAAATACTAAAGGTGCTTTGTTATAATTACATCTCTCAAAGCGCAAAAAAATGCATCATGCCTGAAATATACCTTTGACATATGACTTCCAATTATCTGAATGAAATAGAATCAAATAGATATCCAACCCAACTAGTACTATATTATTTAATAAATCTAAAAGATATAAATATTCCAAGTCTTTACAATACTTACCAAACTTATCCATTACTATTAGTTTGATTTCTTTCCATACACTTCTAACTAATTCTAAAAGCAAAAAGGTTCAATATGGACTTGGTATTTGGCTGAGTTCTCTATCTGTACTGAAAATATACATATATTCGATATTAAAAAAACTCCAATAGGTCTTTAATATCGATTTGAGTAGGTTCAGCTGTATATGAAGAATATCAATAACCAATATAAATAATAATATATCATCTGATATATTTATACCCCTATGATTTTGCAAGTAAAGTGTGATGGTTTGACGTATAAACACTTGCCCAGGCCAATCAGCTATTATTAGAATAATACTGTTAGTTAAATAATTATTTAATAAAGAAATTTCATAAACACGTTGTAAAGCATTAATATATGAATTCACATCTCCAAGTTTTAATTCAAAAAAGTCCAAGAGAATCATGTCTTTCATTCTATATTCTTCTTATCATTCTTGTATATGAGCATCATAGCTGTGAAGAGTTAAATTTTCAAGTTTTTTGTTCATGGATATTTCATAATAAAACTGATCGTTAAAAGTTTTCGCCATTTGTTTCATAAAACAATAATCTAAAATATTACAAATAAGTTCAGAATCGATTAGTTTTGGATTGTGGACTGATACACTATTTAGCGTGTGTGGAATGGCTGTCATGTCAATATAATTTAACACCAAGATCATCATATGTGCCATATTTGATATTGAACATGTATCAGAAATCTGCTTGGAATGAATATTATGATAATCATCAACATTCAACGTTAAAGCCTTGTATTTATTATTCTTTACATATGACTCAACTATAGATAAATGGTTATCCGCAATTTCTGTCTTTTTTCTATCCAGATGCCTTCATGAAATTGTTATATCTGTACGTGATAAAGCATCTAAAGCTTCTGCGGAAACCCCAATCAAATTTAAAAAAAGAAAAATATCTTCTTTAAATATTATTAGCTTAGAATTCCAATTTCCACAAATAATATAACATTCTACAGCTAATTTTTTATCAAGTTTTTCTAAATATTTTTCACTTTTTTTATCCAGAAGAGTTGTATTATAAATTGAATTAAAAAAACTACTTAGCCTTATATCTTTAGCCTCTATCTCTTCACGCAATTGCTTGAAACTATAAATAGCTGACTTTTGTTTAACTTTTTCTCGATCGTATAGAAGTTTGATTAAGATGTTAACCCCATCAACCTATGAAAAATAATCATCACCCGTTTCTGATTTATCTTTTAAACTTCAAAGTGATATGATCTTGTCTTGATTTCAACATATCAAATAGCATTGATACGCCAATAACCACTCGAGTTTTCTTTTTTTAGCTTCAGTTTTTCTTTCTAAACATGCCATTTCTTCAATTTGATCAAAAAAGAAACTTAATTCATTATTCTTATTTTTAGCAATTGATCTAAGTTGGGAAAATGAAATGACAGGTGACTCTCCATCTATTACTTCTCTCTCAAAAATAAGATTAGTTAGTAATGAAATACTATCACACATAGAAAGACTATTTCAACGTCTTTTTAACCCTTTCTCCCAATTCATAGTATGTTCTTTGAAAGAACTTGCTCCATTCATCATGATCGTGTTATAACAACTCATACACATATACTTATCCTTAAGATCTCTATAGTATGAGGCTAGAGTTCCATTTGCTTCTGCCTTGATTAACACATTTTCAGTTATTTTTTTCTACTTTTCCATTAGAGTGCCTTTGCAAATCTTTATAATGCAATATTTACTTGAATTGTAAGCTGAACTACCTTCCATTTCTTATAGATTACCTATAAAATCTGTCTTTAATAAAACTTTTTAAATCATGGGATTATTTTGGATTAATTTTAACAGAAGATGGGTTATACGAAGAACTCTTGCTAGTTTTCTTTTTTGAATAGATTTATTTGGTAGATTTCAAAAAATCACAGGAGTATGGAGTACTTTAAACTATATAAAAAGTAAAAAAAAATTTTTTTATTAAATTAACTAAGCCACTGATGATTGTTGCCAAATTAGGATTTGTCCACTATGCTAAATATATTACTTTAAATATAATTCTAATAATTCTTAACTAATTAATTAATATTTTCATCTTCATTCTCTATAAATAAATTATTTACTGTGTGAAAATAATATGCTTCTTATTAAATAATATTATTACTTATATTATCATCATCTTCATTATTTCTGAGTTCTAATCTGTTTTTTTTTATCAAGTCTTTTATCTTTAATAATACTCATTAAGTTTTTATATTGTTGTGATATGAACTTTTAGTAGAATATTAATTAATTATATTATTGGTTGCTTCATATCACAATATGATTGAATGAATAATTTTTTATATCTTATTGGACATTAGCTTTAGAAAATATTATTTA